AATAAATTCAAATACATAGACAAATATGGTTACCATTGGCCTTCATATCCAAAATATTCATTTTGTTTTCTTTTATTTTGATTAATTAACTTTTGTTTTCAATTAATATATTTCATATTGTACACAACACAACAAAAAACATATATCAAAAAAATTATCTGAAAGTGATGCCAATTTCTTTCAACCAGACTTAATGCTGTTTTTTTACAACTCTTAAAGAATAGATTGCGGCTATATTTGTTCCACACATATATCTAGAGCAAGAAAAAGCGTACTTTCTATCTTTTAAGGGTACCTAACGGAATGCTTGTTACCTCGAGTAAATAAAAACTACCACCAACTCTTCAAAGTTTATGGACTGGCAAGGGAAATAATTCTGACAGCACGAAAAAACAAAGTAACGATATAGAATATTTAATGCAATAATATTATTATTTCTTTTATTAGAATTTTCTACTGCTGTTTTTATAATATCTGTGTATATGTGTGTATTTGCATAAATACGAGGGCGGTTTGATAAGTTAGTGACTTCTTGAATAAAACAAATTTTTTTCGGCAAATAAACATTTTATTTTTCTACATAATCACCTTTTAGCTCGATACATTTAGTCCAGCTTTTTTCTAATTTTCTTATTCCCTCCAAATAATAGGTTTTCTCAAAGCGTTTGTTTCGGTGATGACTTCTTTATTCGGCTCAAATCTCTTACCGCCCAGCTAAATCTTTAGGTTTGGAAAAAGAAATAGTTGCAAGAGGCTAAATCTGGAGAATATGCTGGATGGGGTAGCAGTTCGTATCCCAATTCGTGGATATTGGCCAGTAATGCTTAGTCAGCACACGAAATTCACTTTTTTCCATTTTCGTAAATATTCACGAGGTTGTCTGCTTTGAATGGCTTTCAAACACCAACTTATCGACGTAGCTTGCTCAAAATTACAAAGTTGCCCACTGGTAGATTACAGTTGACGGCAGCACTGTTGCATTTGGAGTATATGCGCGGGAAATTCAAAACGTCATTGACTTATCAAACCGCCCTCGTATATTTCAATATTTTTGAGTTTTAAACAATCAAGATACTGAAACAAATCTAAAACAAAGAACTCCATGCCTTAAAGTTAGCGTAAAACTTATAAGTGTGATTTTATAAAACCGAAACATTTAAAACTTTTTAAACTTAAAAAGTCTAATACTTTCATTAAAGAAATGCTCTTTATTTACATCTTCCATTTTCATATTAAAAAAAATTATACAAGCAACACATCATGTATTTTTTATTTGACTAATTTGTTTATTCTTAATAATTAGACAGGATTGTGTAAGCGATTCGCGTGTACTAAGTGGAACAATATGATTGATATTCATCGTAGGATTAAAGTACCGTAAAATTTGATTTATATCTGCGCCAAAATGCTTAGCCTCTTTACTAGAAAATATGGGGAATAGGCACTGCGCCGCAATTGAACTTTGTCTATGAGTCTTGTTAGCCAAATACGAAAACTAGAAATTCAGGCTCCTTCCTGTGTAGTTGGTGTTATAAGATATTTTATTAAGTCGCATATACGAGCATAAACAAGACGCACATAAATAAGCTGGAGAAATAAGACAAAATTTGATAATAAAATAATAAGGAAAAGTAAAAGAAATGAATTTGCATATTCTCTTACATTTAGAGACTGTCCCAAAACTTATGCACCTCAGACCTCATTGCTAGCTACGGGTAACAAGATAAGAGAAGAAAAATATTGCTGCTAATGTAAATGTTGTTATCCGAAATGCAACTTGAAGTAGACAGACTAAGCGGCAGAAATGCATATGCATGTGTTGCACTTACTTACCCAAATTACGAACTTGAAATCGATAATGCTTAACTGGTTTCTTATGGAATTTGCATTTGAATCGTGCCTACGGCACAATTTGAATTTTTGGAATTGGGTGTGTTAGCGAATCGGTTGAGGTCATATTGTTTTCCGCTTAAATTTGCACCAATGTCAATTGATTCGTTGCGTGTGGCCCCTTGTATAGTATATGAAAAGCAAAATTATATTGATTTAATAAATTTTCTACTAAAAGTTAAAGGTAATGTAAAATTGTATGTATAGTAACTTAAAAAAATATATAATTTGACTACCTTAAAGCAATTACAGATAGCTCAAAACCTGGCTTTAAGAAGACTGTTTAAGATTCCATGGTATATTAGATCAACAGACATACATAGAGATCTTAGGATTGACTCATTAAAAAAATATATCAGTGAATATATTATTCACTAAAGTTGATACGCTACTTAACCCCGCCCTATCAATCCTCAAGTCCACTTCTGGATTCTCAGGAAGATATGCTGATTTAAAGTCCGTCATCAACTAAAAGACAAATAAATGATTTTTTAGCCTAGTTAAAGCCTTGTGTGGGGTAGTGATAAGCCCCCCAGCCATTATAGAGTAAAAGTGCGTAATAGCACTAACTCAAGAACAAGAAGAAGAAGAATAAATTGACTAACAATGATTACTTGATTTGATAGTAAATGGCGAAGCTAGAATGTAAGCAATCAATATATTACCTCGGAAGCAACATAACAAATAAATGTCATGCATAAAAAGAAGTCATTGCCAGAATAAATAAAGTTAGAGTTGGTTTTATTTAACTTAAAAAGATTTGCAGCCATATATCTACCATTACAAAAATTGGCATATTCAATATAAACATAAAATCAGCTCTATTTTTGGAAGAAAAACACAAAAGAGACCAGTGCTGTGAAGATCAAATTTAATATACAAATTTAAACCCCACTAACTAAGTGGACAATAAAGAAAATCAATCAATAGAATTGTGGTGCAAAATAGCACTTTGCTTACTTGAAATGTTTCTTGTCACTGGCAATGGGTAAAATTTAGGGTGCAAAATAGCACTTTGCTTACTCGAAATGTTTCTTGTCGCTTGCAAATTTATATAAAAGGAAGCAAAATTATGGGTGTCGTTCTATTTGTGATTTAACACCATTGCAGGTAAGTCGTGTGAGAAATATTAATAGCTCAATTCAAGTGACCTGGACACATGATGGCATGTTTGGCCTTTGCTGACGGTCATCAGGTGGACAGTTGAGGTTGGATGAGCCAGTTGACATTGGTTGAGTTACCTTTCGTTTGGCCTTTGCTGACGAGGGATAGCTTAACCAACCAATCGGATTTCCTCTTGGCCATTGCTGATGGAAAGCTGAATGGCGAGTCAACAGCATTGTATTAGGAGTGTGTTAGGGACAACAGTGGGAGCTCAGACTAATTGGTCTGAACATATGACGATTCGTCTGGTTTTCTGTTTTGTCCAACGACTTCAGCAACTCAACGTTTTTGTTTGTCCAACGCCTCAACAATCAAACGCTTCCGGTTTTCTGTTTTGTCCAGCGCCTCAACAATCAAACGCTTCCGGTTTTCTGTTTTGTCCAACGACTTCAGCAACTCAACGTTTTTGTTTGTCCAACGCCTCAACAATCAAACGCTTCCGGTTTTCTGTTTTGTCCAACGACTTCAGCAACTCAACGGTTTTCTGGTTGTCCAACGCCTCAACAGTTCAACGCTTTTGTTTGTCCAACGCCTCAACAATCAAACGCTTCCGGTTTGTCCAGCGCTCTCAACAATCCAACGCTTTGATTTTAGTTCATCTATAACTTATAAAATCCTCATTAATTTTAATAAACATCATAAAAATACGAAACACAGTGTCTCCTGTTCTTATTCAAAAATTCTTTTAACGTACCCCTGGTATACTCGCAGAGTTATACCCCGGCTATAGATAGGGCCGGAAAAGGTCGTTACAGTGCAATCTGGTCAAAAATTCAGACTTTTCAAAGAATATTTGATATCTATTTATTGGCCTAAACTAGAGTAACATAAGAAATATAGAATAGCAAATGGGTAAGGACATACTACTGGCCTTGACTTAGAGAGGAGATAGTCTACTGCAAATATCGTTATATCATTAACTTTTCTTATAACAGAGTTAGATTTGCATTGATGACGGAGACTTTATGCTCTACCAAGGAGGACAGTGTTATACATATTAACAATAATTAATACTAAAAATTATAAGTATGTAAATATATGCAAAAGTCCACAAATACTACATAAGAGTATTAGAATAATTTTCATTCCTTTTGTATTTGAATGGAATTTGCTATCAAATCAATTTTGACAATTCTTAGTCGTAAACTAAGAATATTTGCTTTTTAAAAAGTTCTTTTTAAGAATGATTTATATCTATATTCTATCAATGAATGTCAATTTTAGATGTGGTTTGAAGTATTTGTTTTGATAATTATTGTACATCTCATCCAATTTCATTAATTATAAGCGTTTTCTTTTGTTGCGTTTTCGTTGACGCCATTTATCTACTGTCTGTTTTTCTGTTTGACACGATTTAGTGCCATATCTCTTATGGTAAATTTGCGCCTCATTACAGAGAAGATATTTTTAAATCGGTTGTCATATCGTATTCGCCATATAATTCATATAACTCATGATTATACATTATTTCGCAGCTATCTCCATAAATTGGATATAATGATAATTATATTGAGTTTTGTGGTAACCGAATAGTTTTAGTTATTAGTTATGTACGATTGATGGTAAAATAATTGTATTAAGAACGTATATAATCGAAATGGGTTACAATTATGAATGAACGGAAGTCTAATTCATTACATATATATCACGATAAAAAACCAAAAACTTCGCATATATAGTACGTTATATTTCCTAGCGACCTAGCGATATCTTCATGAGGAATTGAACACTGAACCACTCAAAAAATACATTACAAGAAATCGAACAGAAAATGAATTAAAAATATCTTTAAATCTAATTTTTTTTATTTAACCAAAAACAAGACAAACATTTTGTGAAACAAAAATAACATTGCTTTGCTTTACATTGAGTTTGATCAATTTTATTAGATTTCTAAAAGTTTAGGTAAAATGTAAATTCTTTAGTATATTATGTACCCTATATACTTAAAATTTGTGTTTCCAAATTATTTCAGCACAAAATATAAGTATACTAATACTCATGAAGAGGATATATGTCAACCAAATCCATTTAAAATCCTTAAATTTTAACGAGTGTTGTTCATATCCGCCACTAAGATCCACAAAATTAATTTTTTCTAGTTTGACCATTTCGTAGAAACTCATAGCATACCAATGTTGATAAATTCCAGTTTCCTGCACAAGGACACAGAATTGTCTGAGAGGTTCTTTGTAAAATGAGTTCTCCTGTACAGCAAAAGCGTATAGTATGAAATTTGTAAAGGAGAGATCGGTAGAGAGACGAAATAATTTTGTAGCAAAATAATTCTGTTGTTCCTCGAAAACTGGCCAAACCGTCAAAGATATCAAATATGCATATTTAGTATTCAAAGCCTGCCTATAAGACTGAAACTCATTAAAAGTTTTGACGATTTTGAAGATGGGCTTATAATTTTGCCAAAAGGTTTCGCCAGCGTAGTATGTAATACGTGGTATGTCTTGTTCACAAACCATTATTTTCATATTTAGAGCGCGGACATCGTCAAAACTGTGAATCTTTTCTACTGTGGGTGGATCCGTGAGCAGCATTGTTAGTTTGGCAGTAAAAGCAGTACTAAAAAAGATACCAGTAAAAAAAAGTAAAAAATAAACGAATTTTAGATGCAATTTCGGTTTGCTTTCCATATTGAAAGATTGACCGATCATGCCACGCATTATTGTTGTATTGAATATAATTTGGAGAAGAAATTTACACCTGTTTTTCTTAGTCAAACGTTGTTTTGAAGTTTGTAGTGTTAATAGCAGTGATAACAACCAATGAATAACAAAAAGACAAAGATTTGTCTTAAGATTAAATATTTGTAGTAATATCATATTTGTAGGTACTGGGGGTTCAACTGGTATCATCGTCAGCAGTTTACCAATTTCAACTGGATAACTGAACTCGTTGATATTAAAGCCCTTCTGGGCTGATATGAGACTGATGGGTATATCCACTGTCTCATTACGTGCAGTTAGTAACAGTTCGGAATTGTGATAAACATTATGCGGTGTAATATTGTAAGCAAATTGTAGAGTGCAATTGTAGTATGCAGCAAAGTAATGCATAAATTTGCCAATATAGCCACCAATTTTCTGCTGGCCTGATTTATCGGTGTACAATATAGTGCGTGGCTCAAACAAATCGGGTAATGTAAGCAATATCTTGCCTTTCAGATTTGTTAGACGATTAATAAAAAACTTGGCTGCACTTGTTAGCTTATGTTGCTCCAGTTCGAAGGATGGAAATGGTGTGTAAGTGTAATAAATGCTTGTCCTATAAAAATCATTAAAAATGATATTGATATTTAATATTTTCAATGTTTCGCAGTATTTTAAAAATATTTCCAATTTTTTAAGTTGTAGTTTTTCTATAAATTCCTGATTCACAATCACAATTATTCGCACTGTGCGTAAGTGATTAAGATTAAAACTCAACAGATCCAATAAATTGAGGTCATTTAGTGTAGCAAGACACATTATAGCCAGCATTTCAGAATTGTAGTTATTCTTTAAGTACATAGTTTCCTCAGCACCCAAATTAATGATTGGCACCGGCCAATAACGCAACAAATGCTCATCAATGCAATCCTCAGCGCTTCGTGTTTGTAGGAAGATTGTTTTATAAGATCTTTCGGCATAAATACCCCTTATTAAACTATGAAATTCACAGGTGAAGTTTATAGTTTCATTATCCACTTCAATATTTGCATTAATTGCAGTTATAAAAAGTAAAACCACAAAATGATGATAGACAAACATGTTACTGAAAATGCTTTTAAATGTTATGTAACACTTTTTGCATTTCATCACAACTTCTTATATTTATAGAAAACTTAAATTTATTACAAAAGCTAAACCATTTCTTCTATTACAGATGAAAATATTTTGATTTTACTGCTTTTAATTAATCAGTTAAATAAATAACGTCTAGTCGGTATTTTACATGTGAAATATCAACTACATTGTGTTTCAACGAAAAATGAAATTAAATTAATCCAAACAATAAAATATAAAGCATTTTTCATATAAAAAAAACACGTGTCTGCTTTAGTACACGAAATTTGACGCCATCGAAGACGGTCGATGACCACTTTCTTCAGTTTAAACAAATAAATTGCAGACAAAATTTGTCGCATTTTGTCAATAAAATTCTGAAGTCACATAAATTCAATTAGATGTTATCTTTGCAATATAAATAAATAAAATAAAATATTTTTATATATAATACAATATTATTTGATACTTTTGAAGGATATTTAGTAAATGAGGTTTACAAAAGTTTCTTACCTTTGGAGTGATTAGCAACGTGTTAGAGGCTGACGGAGTCTTATATAATCTGTAGGGCATATATTGACCGACAAGACTATAAGAGCTTATTTATATCGAAGTGATGAATATCAAATAGTGGATATTATTTTTGGTGTTATGTTATACAAGCGTTTGAAAATGTTGGACACCACATTTAATTTACTAGAAATATTATACGCTTAATTAAGACAATATTTTTCACATTATACTACAATATATAAACTGTATGTTCTTGATTAAATATGGTACTTTCTACAATTTGAATGTTTTCTGACTCTAGTAAGAAAAAAATGTGTGGTTTTGCTTCTAAAGAAGACATCCTAGGCAATGGTAGCGTGAGTAGGGAAGTTGGTCTATCATGTCTTGAACGTCAAGTACGCCAAATAGTCTCACAATGAGTATGCGTACTTTCTATATATTATAGTACTGTCTATTTTTATTGAAAAGTTGCAGTAATGTCTGTTAACTTACATATAAGTAATGCAAACTCCATTGTATCTTATATAGAAGTATCGTTTTGGCATTAAAATTAAATAATTATCCAAAATTTCAAATATTTTAAAGGATTATTTACTTTCATATATTACCAAGTATTTTTTTATAATTTTTTGAATTCCTTTTCTTTAATTTCATCATCCAATCACTAAAGTAATAAAACTTCCATATTACTATAAGTTTTATTAATTTCTACTTAGCTAATTGCTTTTGTTTCAAATCAATTTTGATTTTACATTATTACGATTAAAGCAACACACAATTTCATTTCATTGGCCATTTAGTTTTTTAATCTCTCAAATTATTAATTTTTGTGCAAACAGACAAACATTACCCCGATCATATCAATGATCTGGAGGATGTAACTTAACAGAACTTGTTCACTATTGAAATTCCGACGTTGACAGTTAGTTAGGTAGGCATGCAATCACACTATTCTACTATAACTTTTATCATAGTAACGGCTTTGCTGACTATGTCGGTGTTTTTATCTTTTAGTCTTTCTAGTCTGTTGTATAAACAACGTTTATCCGTAGTATTCGAACTCAAGTGAGCTTTGGTGCATAAGTCCGTCCTCTAAACTAACTGTACAGATACTCTACCTCAATACTAGTTAGAGTCGTAGCAAATTATAAACTTCAAACTTATTCCACAAAATAAATACTAAAATAAGTCATATAACCCAAACCATTGATTGTAGCGATTTGCTATATCCTTATCTAACTACTGCAGATCACCTATCCGATTTCTCTGATACGATATGGGTATTTAAATAAAAAAAAATTGTAAAAAATAAACAATTAATAGTATCGCAAAAATTCAATTAGTAGCTGAGCGTTTCAATCTCATATATTTAAACAATACAATAATATTATATTTTAATATGCAGGATATTGTTAAAACTATTAGGAAGATGGTATTTAAGATAGTAAAAAAATTAAAGATAAGATAACGATTATTTGTAGGTAAAATTTACAGAAATAAATATTATTTAATATATATTGCTAAAGTTCTAAAGTATTCTGAGAAGCATAGTGTATAGAGTTAACTTATTGTTTTATTCTTGTCTGGTAGTATCTACAGCAGATTTTAGATTGATTTTACTTCACATCTATTGAAATAATTTCTACAATTAAATCTCTTAAAAATCAAAAGGCACCTGGTTATGACCTCATAACTGCTGAAATTCTTAAAAAACTTCCAGATTTTGCTTTAATATTTATTACCCATCTTTTAAATGCATCCTTATTAAAAAGTTGCATCCCAGCTCAATGGAAATAAAGAAATAAAGATGATACTAAAACCAGGAAAACCAGCTGAAGTTGTAAAATCCTATCATCCAGTAAGTCTCCTTCCCATTCTTTCAAAAGTTCTTGAGACACTATTTTTAAAACGTGTTATGCCGATAATTGAGTCGAAACGAATAACTCCGAATCACCAGTTGGGATTCAGAAGAAAACACTCAACCGTTGAGCAAATTCATAGAATTGTTGAAAAAATACAGACCACTTTCGAGTGAAAAGAATACTGCTCAGCAGCGTTTTTAGACATATCTCAAGCGTTTGATCGAGTATGCCACCAAGCACTTCTTTTCAAATGTAATATCGTATCTATTAAAAAGATTCTTTTATGTCAACAATGAGAATGAAATGTCTTCTCTACATGATATTAGAGCTGGAGTACCGCAAGGCAGCGTACTCGGTCCAACCCTTTATCTGCTTTTCACATACGATTTACTGAAGACGGTATGAATTGTAACCAGTACATTTGCAGATAACACAGTTATCCTGGCGAGTGCAAACGATCCCTCTGTAGCCTCTTTCAAATTACAA